CTTCAGACTCACAAGGATGGATTTTAAGTACTACATCACGCATGTCTTCTTCTTCATAATTGACTTTCAAAATTTCTTGCATTTTTTCGGTTATTGACATCGTCGTTTGCATTGAGATCTACCTCTTCATGTTCTTGTTCCTCTTCTTGTAATCTACTAAGTCAATCTTGTAGATATTGTTGTATTACTTTGTGAAGATCTTCCATGTATTTCTCAAATTGTTGATCCAATTGCTCAAATACTTGATCAAATCGATCCAAACGCTCCATATGGTGTATGGATCTATGATCATAAGGCTCTGAGACCAACTTGATGTAGGAAGAAAATATAATAAACAGAAAAATAAATAAAAAATAAAATAAGAGACTTGAGAGATTATACCCTCTCAAGGTCTACAAGGGAGTCCACCCTAAAGATCTTTTCACAAGATCAAAGCACTTTCTTTATTCTCCATTCACTATCTCTTAAACAACAAGTCTAAAATATCCTAACCAACCCAACCATGCAAATCCGTATCCATATCCATCTTAAAAAGAAAAAGAAAAAACTTCTAATTCTACCCCTTAAATCTCTACAGCTAAAAACGACAATAATAACCCTATAGAAAACTAAAAATCCAAATAACATATTTTCTATATCCTAGAAAAATATAAAAATACAAAAATTACAAAAAGAAAATTATTTGCATCATGCATGCCCCTCGAGAACCTCATTTACATGTTGTCTACGACACCCAAAAGTATCACAAGTCACCTCTTGGGAGAGGTTTGTTGTATACTAATCATGGTCATATGGGTGTTGCAATCTAAAGTGGGTGGAAACTATATTGGCTGATCCGAAAGTTAAAGTTCAATTACCTATGGCCCTTTATTTTGATAACAAAGCAGCCATCCACATTGCTAAAACCCCTGTATTTAATGAGAGAACAAAGCATATTGAGGTAGACTACCATTTCATAAGGGAAAAAGTTGTAACCAGAATTATTTGTACCCGTCATGAGAATTTCAGAGATCAACTAGCGATACCTTCACCAAAGCAGTTGCCTATAATAAACTACAAGATATAGTGGTCACATTGGGCATGATTGATATCTAAGCTTCAGCACGTGGGAAGTGTTCGGAGTATTGCAATGTCAGGGACATAAATGGAATATTTGATTCAATGAGGTTATGTGTGAGTTATTAACTTATACAATGGTTTTTTAAAAAAAAAAATTTGCTATTCAGCAATAGTATAAATGCATGACTAATCCCAAAGAGAGGTCACAACACTTGTTTCCCCTTCTTTCTTTTCCACGCACTCCTCTCTCCTCTCCCTCTATGATGCCCCTCTCTCCTTCATTCTTCATCTCTTACTTCTTCCTCTTCACATCTTCTTGCTAATACTTGCTTATTAGAATAGATCTAGATTATATCTTTGAACTCGATCAGACCAGGAACTTTAATAAGTTCATTCATCTGGACCTGATTCTGTGACTTTTCAATCTTCGTGGTTTGACTGCTAGGGACTCGAACCCTCCAATTCAGATGGATTGTATCAGAAAAGGAAAAAGGTAGTGATAAATTTGAGTCCCGGTGAGTGATTAGTCTTTTGGAGAAGAAAAAGAGAGAGCCTAACCTCCTTTTCTTTATTTGTGGTTTGGCTTTGTATTTACAAGTGACCTTTACATTGTATGGGCATTCACACATGCCACATAATTGACTGTTTAGTTTTTAGTTTTACAAAAAGACCAATCACCCAAATGCCCCCAAACCATGGTTTGAGGAGGCATCAAGACATTTCCTAAAATCCTGAATTATAACTAATTTATGTCAAAATTTAAGCACAAGCAGCAAAGAAAGCATAATCACCATCACAACAGTGTTCACAATGAGAATCAAAGTTGATGAATAAAAGCTGAATGAAATTGCATGCAGTTTTAAAGTGATGCAAATCAAAGCATCCCATAATGTTAACGCATGTAACGGCAGTTTGAAGTCAGTCTGACTCTGCAGCTCCCACTCATACATAATGTCTTACAACCTGCACAGAATACACATTGCGCACTATATGTCATGTCATTGGTATAGAATCTTTAGACACCTAGGTTCAAGGGACAGTTTTATAACAAACATTCAGAAAATGCTCCTTACAACAAGGCATCCTTATATGCATGTGGGATCACTCCCACAATTTAAAGTTCATCATACATGTGCATGAGATGTGAGATTCACTTTCGCATTTTAGTTGCAAATGCACACCACTTGAAAGTACTGGTCTTTAAAGAAATACACTCTATCTTTTAAAAGATATATACTGGGGACTTCCAGAACTCCAATACCTCTTTTAATAAGATCATTATCACTGTCTTGGACTCTTGGCTAGATGTTCCATTAAAGGGACTTCTAGGGTATAAACTATGAATAATGTTTGAAATAGAGAATCGGCGACCAAGATCGACCATCTACCAAATCCAGTTCAACTTTAGGTACAAATGCACACCACTTAGAAGTACTGGTCTTTAAGGAAATACACTCATCTTTTCAAAGATATATACTGGGGATTTGTAGACCTCCAATACCTCTTTTAATAAGATCACTATCACTGTCTTGGGCTCTTCGCTAGATGTTCCATTAAAGGGCCTTCTAGGGTAGAATAAACTAACCAGAATAATGTTTAGAAAAAAGGATCGGCGACCTAGATTGGCCATCTACTAATCCCAATCAGCTGATCGGTCAGATCTGGCCTTAAAAGAATATCAAAAAATACTACATTTTCTTTAAAATTTATTTTTTAGGTTTCCATAACAAATAGTGTTGTTGCATTATGATTTTCATTATTTTACTGAAATTACATAAAATATTGAGAATTATCCATTACATTCATTTTATAGTCAAAATGAAATTCATAATACAACTCATTGCAATAAAATGGATCTTTTTTATTTTTGTATTTTTATAATCCCCAAGGCTACTTGTGCTTGTAAAGACAAGGAGGCTTGCCTAATCATTTCTTATTTTTTCTCTTTTCCTGAAAATTAATTCATTGAATTAGTTATTGATTTACATTCCTATTTTTATTAATGTTTTATCTCTCTAGAGGTGTCTTATTTAATTTATCTCTAGGATTGGGGCCCAAATCAAGTGCATAATTGAGAGAGAGGGGCAGAGAGAGAGAGAGAGAGGAAAATCCAATCCAAGAGAGAGAGAGAGAGAGAGAGAACTTGATAGTGATAAGTGAAAGAGATAGAGAATGAGAGGGATAGACGGTTACATAAGAGAGTGAAAATGCAAGTAAAATATATGAGAGGAGATTAAATAAGTAAAATAGTTCAGTGAGAAATGACACTTGTTCAGAGATTGCTCTCTCTAGAATAAACTCAATGACACTTACTCGGCTAGTTCTTGATATATTACAGGAATCAGATCTGGCCAAACGATTCCCAATTCGGATCCGCCGATTCCTATCTGGATCGGCATTTTTTAAACATTGACTCTGAAGAAAGGAAAAAAGGCATAGATATGAGGAGCAATAAGCATGCTTCACCAGCACCAGTAAAATCTCCAAAGAGGCAAAGTGCCTGTGCTTGGTTACAAAACTGATTGTTATGCAAGTGCAAACAGTGTCACTAGGTTGGAAAACATTAAGAGTATCTTAGTAAGTAGATTTACATGTCACTTTACGCTTGGATCAATATAAAAACTTCCTAACCAGGTTCAAACTTTGTTTGACCCTATTACAATCTGCAAACAACAAGTTCCCTCCAAGTAGAAGGTAACAAGAACAGCATACAAATCTCTAAGGGAACCCACAGTATCCAGCCATTTCGCCAATCAATACATGTATATATGCATTTGTGTTTCTGTGTAGGCGTATGTGTATCCTTGCCTCCAGAAACCAAAGAAGATATTTACTGAATTTGTAAAGCCAAGAAAGTTGAACAGATGCCACTTTGCAAATAGCGACATCAACATACACTGTATAAGGTCTAAATTCCATAGACATCTTTGCATGGTCAGGAGAAACCAAAGAAGAAAAGCATGGGATAAGCAACCAGTAAAGTATGGAGTGGACTAGTTCATGCAAGTTACATTTTGACGGTTGAAACTTAGAAAATGATTCAAAGTACGAAATGTACAGAAATGTGTACCTATTGAGAATTTCTTTTATTTTTCTAGGGGTGTGAGCTGTGGCTTCCACAATTGTAGCACTTCGTGTGGAAAGTGTGACATTGTTTTGGAAGCTGCTGTATCTAGCAGCTTCCAAAAGAATGCCATTTGACGTTATTTATGGAAGCCACTGCTGCGTGGAAAAGGGTCTTTGGTAGCCCCCTCTTCCACAAAACATACATGCGCTAAATAAGTAACTTCTATTGATAATCAATCCAAGAGAATGTATCACTAAAAAAGGGAAAAGAAAATCAAGAGAATCAGCATCTTTATTGGGGTCTGCCTCCTTTACCAAAAGGAAACAGTGAAGTGCTAGGCAACAGGGCATGCTACTGGCAAACAACAAAAAGGCTACACCACGTTCAGCCTCTTGGTTTAGTGGTAAAGTGTCAGGGGCTAAGAGCCATCCAATTTTACCTTACCCGCTCAGGAAAAACCAAGAAAGAGACAATCAAAAATTAAAAAATTAAAAAATCGTTCTGTTTTCAAACATAGTAATAAAACAAAAACAAAAATCCTGAAAGTAGGTGAATTCTAATTGAACCAACATTATGGCACCTTCAGCTTTACGTGTCATTGGATAACACAATACAAATAACAAGTCGTGACAATCTACCAAAAAATGGTTTTCTGCATGGAAAAAGGAGGGGATCGACAGAAGCCAAGCTCAAAGATCATTGATGCACCTAAGTAGTACAAGAATTAATCCCATTAGCAACACACATACACCTGCACGAACTAACAAACCCCCCCCCCCCCCCCCCGTTTTCATACTCAAACAACATATACACTTCTAAAGTTAACAAAAATGTTCTAGGACGAGAAATAGGGTAGGAGACATCAAGTACTCACCATCTTTGAACATTTGAGATGCCAATGAACCATGTCCTTTCAAGTCATCACCATCCCACTGCCACTGTGCTTCAGCCTTTGATGACATAAATTTCTGTTCTTCATCCAAGGGTGGTGCATCCGACCTGCCAGGATACGCATTCATAGCACTACTATGATGCATTCTCTGAGCAGACATGTGCTGCATTTGAGCAGCAACCATTGGATTGACAGCAGAACCTGCATATTGATTTTGCCTTCTCATTTTTCCCTGCATTCACCAAACTTTTCGCCTATCAAGGAAAAAATAATACTAGTAAAAGCAGAAAGAGAAGTTCCCATAATCCTTGACAAAAACTACGGCATACTACGAAATCCATAGTACTAATATTTAGGAAACATCAAATAAGAATCCATATTAATGATGATGATGATGATTACTAATGAGCAATGCATAAGATTCAGGGGGTGTGTCTTTCTTCGTTTATTTATTTTCCATATAGTTAACAAAACATGCCCTGATACAAGGTATACATCAAAGTCCACACAGGGCTCAAACAAGAGACAAAAGGAAATAGAGTTAAGATTCAAAATAGAGTTAAGATTCAAATTAAACTTAAAACACCCACAAGAAAAGTTCCTTCCATTTCATAGTTCTCGGGTCACATAATAGTTCCTTCCATTTCATAGTTCCGGAGCCAAGCACTTCAGAACAGATGAAAAAAGAAAAGGAAAAGGGGAAAATAAAAACAAAAAAAAAAACTAAATAACTATACGAATTCTATTCCATTAACAATACATATAACCAGAACCACATGAATTGTTACAAAGCGACTTCAACCCCATCTACAACTAGTAAAGAAATAAAAAACTTTCAACTATTGTGCAGCAATTACGACTCAGCCTCCAATCTGACATGAAGGTAAAAACCAAGTAACCAACGCAACAAAATAAGAAGAGCATATTAAAAATAAAATAACAAATTAAAAAACCGAACAAATGCAAGTGGCCCCTTACAAATTTTGGCAGCCAGAAACTTATCTAGGAATAGAAACGGAAATCAAAGTATTTGATTGAGAGTCAATAACAAAGTGGGAAAGAATTCTGATTTGCCCTAGAATTAGAACCAAAATTCGACTGCATTTCCACTAGCACAAATAAAAAAATTCGTCGAAAAAGAGAGTATGTGGTTTAATTAAAAATAATAACCATATTAAAAAACAAAGAGATGGATAGAGAGAAGGTGGATTAATTACCTCAATAATGAACAAGAAGAATGAAGAGGAAATGGAGGAGGCACTCAAATCCAACGCAAATGGAAGAACCAGAGAGCTCCTAACGTGCTGCCGAAATGCTTGCTGGGTGGTTTTCGTTTCGGCGCCGAAGTTTGTTTTTTATTGTGCAACAGCAGCACTTCACATATACAGAGAGGTCCGCGATGTGGGATTTGATGAGGGTGGTATCGGTTTCTCTAGTTGTTAATCTAATGGATGGGGATTCTTTGGGTCAGCTGGCTCACTCTATTTTCGTGCAGTCTGTTTCCAAAATCAATAAACTTAAAGGTATGATTTGTATAAGACGTTTCACCTTAAACAAGGAAGGGAAGCTTTAATTTTGGGCTAATTACAAATAAAAAAAACCCATATTTTCTTGAACCTCATCTACCCCTCTCTTTTTTCACTTTTTTCTTTTTTTTTTGGGTGCAGGTGGCATACGGATGCATCCATAGGTGTAGAGGTAAGGTACAAATTCAAATTGTATCATAGTATATAATTTTGATGTAAAATGTTCTTATTAATATTATCTCAAAATCTATTTTTATATCTAATTATAAAATTTTAAATTTAAAAATTAGTTAAAATCAAGTAGATCTATAAACATATGAAAATCTTAAAAATGGAGGGTGTAGATAATATGTTGTAAAATGCATTATTTATGAGACTTAAAATCTTTTTATGTTTCATGGTCAGACATCTCGATGTTGAGATGATCAATCAAAGGGTTTTTCCGCATTAAAACTATATTTTTCAATAGATTTTTGAGGTGCATATGTAGTTCTACATTATAAGGTTGCATCCTTATATAAATTTTTTTTTTTTTATCAAAATAACATTCATTGGAGCTATATTACCGTGAAAACGAGTGTCTCTTTAATGTTTTGAAACATCACGATACCTAAAAATATCATAATGAACTTTAGGTATATCACAGTACTTAAAGTGCCATGATGGCTGAAAAAGGTATCACATAACTCAAAAAACCGTGATAGTCTTTATGTAAAATTTTATTTTAAAATTTTATAAATAATATAAAAACAGAAAATTAATAATATATAAATTTATTACTAAATAAAATGATTGAAATATTATTCTATTACTACTAATTTTAAGTTTATTTTTTAATGCCTCTAGAATTAGAAAGAGCATAGTAATGAAAAGTACTTAAAGTTTTTTAAAATTTCAAAAATATGGGTATTTTTGAAGGGGGTATTGCCTTCTTATTTTGCATATCTCTATACGTGTCAAACAAGTAAGGTGGCTTTTTACTTTTTGTACTCTCTTTACATGACATTAATCCTTTTCCTTGCTTATGGAAAGTTATAAAGTTGACAACGGTAGTTTCGTTATTCGGTTGGTTTCGCCGTTGAGAGAAAACCCGAGGGCTTGGCCCGAACCCGAGAGAAGATATGAACCACTCAACTCACACCCAGCTTGAGCTGTTGTTAAAATAATGAAAGCGCTCCTGTTTTTTGCCGTAGAGAGTACAGAGGAAGAACAAAACGGCCATGAAGAGTGGGGTTTCTTTGATTTTTACGGTTTTTTTTAAGCACCGTGATATTTCATTCGATCATTACGGTATTGTAATTATTGTAATACATCTAAAAGTTCATTACGCCATTTTAGTATTGTGATGCTTCAAAATATTAAGGTAGTCACTGTACTTGTTATACTTTGATGTCTTCATGATAATACGACCTCCATGAAAGTTATTTTGATCAAAAAATATATATATATTTAGAAAAGTTTGAGATTTTTTCTTCCAATTAGTCCAAAATTAAGAAATATTTCTAATAATTTCCCAACAATCTAAATAGGGTTGATCTCCAAATTCTAGATATAATTTTGGTGTCAGACATTCTTGGAATAGATAACAAATCTATTTTCACATCTAATTATAAAATTTTAAACTTCAACAATATTATAAATCGAGCATATCTATAAACACTTGAAATCACGAAAACAGACATCCATATGTTATGATATGCGTTTTTTTAGATTTAGAATATTTAATTCCCTATATATATTCACCTCAAGGTCGAGATGATCAATTAGAACATTTTTATGAATCAAAACAACTTTTTATGTATTATAACCTTTCCTTTAAACTGAGATGCAACACATTGATACTTTCGATTGTCGATCCCAAAGAAATAAAAGTTTTGAGTATTAAAAATAACTTAGACCAAGCTATGTAAAATCCAACTTAGACGGAGCTCGAATCCTACCCAACCCCTAACCCAAACTTTTGAACCTTCAAAACCACACTTTAATTTAAAGGCCGGTAGGATAACAAGAACTTCCGGATCCTCTTTTGCCTATATTCACTTGTTCGTTAAAACCTGAAAGGCTGGGATTGGCCTTGTAACAATCTACTTTAAACCGGCACCAACTCCAGGCGTTGAGCCCCTCTTTCTTTACTTTGACTTCATTAATGATATCTATGAGTTCCAGTTAATCTCATTTTACATAGCTTTATTTAGCTTCATTTATTGTTTTATTTGATTTTGCTCTTTTTCTAAAGTTTTTCATCAAACCACTCCCTCTCTTCATTAAATATTTTGAAATCTCTCTTAAACTATAAGGCTAAGGTGTATGGGAAGCCGGCTTTATCGGCATTTTGAGTGGCTCGACTCCCACCCATAATGCAATTTGACGATACTCTTTCTCCATCAACTTTTTTGACAAGTTTACGCTCGAAACCAAGACGGGACCGAGTTTCTTGTCTGTATTTTCGAATATAAATCGAGAGGGATCATGTCTTTTCTGAACCAAGAGAGAGATAGCTCTAACGAATACATTTTGTGTACAATTTTAGAGAGAGAGAGAACCTTTAGACCGGAAAAAGAGGGACACCCTAAATATTTAGTGCAATTTTTTGTATGACGTACAAGAGAGAGAGAGAGAGAGAGAGAGAGAGAGAGAGAGAGTAGGTGGT